TGGGAAAGATTCATGAAAACCGTCTCACTATTGCCCCTGTATTCTGGAATGTTCAGATTGATATAATGGGACCTTTCTTAGCTCACTGTGAACATAATCACAGATCCAGTGTTAAAATATGGGGATTAGTGTTTAAAGATCCTGCCTCTGGAGCTGTTTATACTCATGTAATGCAAGGATATGATGCTTCTTCTTTTGTATTAGCTTATACAAGATTTGCCTGCAGATTTGGTCATCCTAATCAAATATTCATTGATGAAGGATCTCAACTTATCAAAGGTTGCAAAGATATGGAGATTAGCTGGACAGATATCTCTAAAACTCTAAATGGTGAATATAAGGTTGGTCTAAACTTCAAAACATGTCCGGTCGGAGGACACAACTTCAACGGAGTTGTGGAGAGGTCAATCAAGGAAATCAAGAAGATTTTCTACACTGTCTACAATGGTTTGCAGCTGGATATCCTCGCCTATGAAACAGCTTTTGGTTGGGTTAGTAATGAGCTCAATAATCTTCCAATATGTCTAGGTTCTAAGACTGAAAATCTAGATAATCTAGATTTAATTACTCCACAAAGACTAATTAGTGGAATGAATAATTCTCGTGCTCCTCAAGGACCTTGTAGAATTGAAGCTCCGTCAAGATTAATTAAACAGATGGACAAGGTTTATGAATCCTGGTGGAGAAACTGGACCATGGAGAAAATCATCAACTATATACCTAGACCACCACAGTGGACCAAGAATACATATCAACCCAAGATTGGAGATATTGTAATCTTTCGTAAGGATGAGAATGATAAACAGATGGGTTCTAGAGTCTGGAGAACAGGACGTGTGAAGGAGCTGGATGAATCCAGGGATGATATCTCAAGATCTCTGATCGTTGAATACAAAAATGCATCGGAGTCAGTGTTCAGGACAACCCGGAGATCTGTGAGAAAGGTCGCGGTAGTTCATGTTGAGCATGATCTAGAACTTATCCAGGAGCTAAACGAGGCATGCAAAGAAGCAGGAAACGAATTCTATATGAAGAAGATCTCGGAGACAGAGAGCAGAGAGTCAAGGGTCGGAGACCAGTTGGGAGAGAATTTCATTCATCTTTTTTCCTCTGAAAACTGGCCTATGAATAAATAAACAAAGAGTGATTAGCAAATACTAATTGAAATTTATTTCAATAAAAAGTGAAAAGTGAACATTTTTAATTCAGTATTCTCAGCTACTTTCGACATTCTACATCTATATTCATCAGTTCTACTCTTCTCTCAAATAAACTATAAACAATTATAAAGCGTCTGAATCAAGGGAACGCCTCATCGTCTTTTTTCCCGCCCCCAGTGTAAATTCTACTGTATAGGTGAAGACGATTCGGTAAACCCTTCGGATGATCCTATAGATGATTCAAGACCTGAAGATTGAAGATAAAAGCAAGAATCAATCTGATTATATTTGATTTTGCTGAATTGTTAAAGTAAATATTTACTCAAAAAATCTTCAGAACTATTTAAATGAAAATTCATTCTTAAAAAACTTAAATGTAAAACTTTTAAGTTTACTGTCTAAAAATTATAAACATTTTATATTCAGAACTATGAATTTTATATGGATTTTATCTAAATGATACTTAGCCAATATTTAAACAATATTTATCCTATATTTAAAAAAAAAAAAAAAAAAAACTTTCATTAAAGAAAATATTAATTTCTGAAATCTTTTCAGAAGGAATGAGAAAGTTTAAAGCGCGTAGTTGGACTATACAAGTATGTGAAGGTTGTGACCCTTCGTACCTGGAATATATATAGGTATGAGTTTATAAAATGTAAAAATTGTACATTTGTAAAAAATGCATTTAAAAAGATTTTAATACAAACCCTTTTTAATAGACTTAAGTAGAGGCTGTGTTTCTGCCGAAACTTGAGTGAACGTCGAAGTTTCTCTCGACAAAGATTAAATAGGTATTAAATCTAAAAATGTATTTTCTAATTATGCATTTAAAAAGAAAAACACACTACGGTTTTCTATAAGCTAACTTTTATAGAAAAACTGAAACCAGTGCTGAGGCAGTGCTGGAACCCTACCCTTTAGTACAGTGTAAACTGCTGTACTAAAACTGGACCTTGTCAAGTCTTCAAGTCCTGAAAGGTAGTTTAATTTCGCATAATAAAAACACTGAACAATTTGTGAAATTTAATGTTATTGAACAATTCAATAGTAAATAAATAACGTTGTTATTTAATTAGAACTCTTGGTGTGGAGTTCAAGATCTCTGTAGGTCGATCTAAACTAAAATGGTCCTACAGGTGATTAAAAAATTGTTTCTGAAAATGTTAAAAGAAATAATTAAAAAATGTTTGTAAACGATTTATATAAATATTTTTGTAATCAATTAATCAATAATTCGTTTAGACATTATTGATCGATTGACGTACGCAAGCATGGAACTGTGAACAGTGCTCTCATGTAAATGGATACTCACCGTAATGTAAGTTTTTATTTTTGTATTCTTTCATAAAAACTATATTGTTCTAAAAAGTCCAACATATAAGATCTAAAAAGCCGCGCTATAAAAATTGCATTTTTCACACTTGATTGTATATATTTTGTATTTTTATAAATTATTTTATATTTCAGTTTTCACCTGTTTTTGGATTGCTGTCTCTAAATAAATTCTAAACTGACAGGAGTCTTTAATCCGAGTGATAAAGAGGAAGCTTTGCTTATAGCATTCCATTATAAACTAAATCTTCAGGGTACATTGATTGTGCCCGTTCGTAAAGTGGGAGCACGAATGAGTATAAAATAAACCGAACGAACCAGCTTTGGCTGGAAATCACAAAGGGCTTGTATAATCTACATTTATTTCTTTAATATTGTCCGTCGAGTTATCAATCGTCTGTTTATAATTCTGCTAGTTCTTAACATTTATGGAGGCAGCTGCAGTTCATACAATAAAAGATAACTGTTTGCATTTTATTGACAAATATCATCAACATTCATCAACAAATAAATAATATTTTACATAAAGCGACTTGTTAACAATCTTTAAGAACAGAGAATGAAGAAAAAATAAGATAAATGTTCTGGAAAGGCTTAACAAGTATAAACGTTAGAAAATGAATATTGAAAGCTCCTGAAACAGTATTTCAAAACAGTTTTTAATAAGTTTTAAAGCATTTAAATTCAGACATATCCAAAACAGCTTTAATTTTAATGTTGTCATGTGACCATGTTTACAATTACTTTGTACAATAACCGGCTAATTTTGAGACTACAGTAAGTAAAGTTTTATAGAGAAACGAAGCTAAAAACCACTACAGCTTTTGTATTTCTAAATTTCCTTGCAAACAAGAGCAAGTTCCTTTAAGTTATTACGTCATTCTTCACTAAAATCCACTATTTCTAAGGTTAGTGTACTGCAGATCACTGCAGTACGAAACCGAAAGATTAGTTTAAGATTATACAGTGTTAAGAATCAAAATTAAAGTGATGTAAAATAGTCTAGTAAAAAGTCCAGGAGGTATGTGAAACTGCGTAAAAGATATTGCATTTATATTTAGTGCATAGATTCAGATATAATATTGAGATCATTCCTCAAGTTTGCGTTGAACACTTCCCAATCTTTCTTGAGCAACGGTCATCACTGAAAATAATTCGCTAAAAAAAAATTCTTTAAAAACTATTTCTAAGTTCAACAAGATTAAGGTTTAAGGCCACGGGTATTTAAAGGGACAGCAGGCGTAATTTCAAGTAAAAATTCATATTTAACGTGATATGCCCGATTCATAGGGTCTCAGGTCCCGTTGTCAATCGGGCATGCCCATTTCTTTAAATTGAGGGTCACTTGAAATTACAACCACAGCTCATTTAGGCTTAAGATAATTGGTATTATCAGACCAGGATGGTATTTCTAATCACTAATCTTAACAAACTTTTTGGGGGTTTAAAGAAGTTCAAAAAAGTTTTAAAATACCTGATTCTCTGAGCTTCTCTAGACTTGAATAATCAACTCTACCAAAACTAAATTGAAAATGAGATCAAGAAATCAAACTTGAGATAAGGAAATCAAACTTGAGATTAGAAAATCAAACTAGAGATTGAAAATCGAACTTGAGATAAGAAAATCTAACTTAATACAAGAAAATCAAACTTGAGATTAGGAAATCAAACTTGAGATTAGGAAATCAAACTAGAGATTGAAAATCGAGCTTGAGATAAGGGAATCAAACTTGAGATAAGGAAATCAAACTTGAGATTAGGAAATCAAACTTGAGATTAGGAAATCAAACTAGAGATTGAAAATCGAGCTTGAGATAAGGGAATCAAACTTGAGATAAGGAAAACAAACTTGAGATAAGGAAATCATCAAACTTGAGTTTAAGAAATTAAACTTGAGCTTAGGCAATCAAACTTTACATTAGGAAATCAAACTTGAGATTAGGCAATCAAACTTGACATAAGGAATCAAACTTGAGATTAGGAAATTAAACTTGAGATTAGAATATCAAACTTGAGATTATGATATCCAACTTGAGTTGAGATTAGGCAATCAAACTTGACATAAGGAATCAAACTTAAGATTAGAAAATCAAACTTTATAAAAAGAAATCATATTTTAGAATTGGATTTCAGGTAAACCCGTTGTTTAGATCAATTTTTTTTTTGAGAAACAAAACTTAAGCAAAAAAATGTAAATATAAAATGGGAATTGAAATAGGCACTGAATGATAAATTTTAATTTATAATGATACCTAAATATATCTCCTAGAAACCCTAAAACCTCAGTTTTAAACTCGTTCATTAATTTGCATAAATGCTCATCAGGACCAAAAAACGCCCACGCCAGGGACGGCGTTAAAATTTCTAAAATAAAAAATACATTTCCTCTTCCTTTCTTCCAAAACAAAAATAATCCTTAATAAAAAAGAAAAAATATGACTGAAGTGAAATTGAAAAAAATCCGTACTTATATTGAAAGTAGTATACTCGATATTTACAAAATACGTTTTAGATTTATTTTTATTAAATATGAATATGAATGAATACCTGACACATTATAAAATTTTGATTTAAACCCATTCGGATGCACTAGAAGTCTTCTTTTTGCCTAGGTAAAAATATTAACAATAGTATTTAATTAATGAAAAAAAGTTAGAATAAGAGGTATTTTTTAGCATTCACGACCTTTTATTATTACTATTTATAATAAAGTTCTTTGCTAATATATAATGTATGTTAGCTACGACTTCCAGAAGGGCTGGACCTAATTGTCTGAAATTTTCAGCTTGTCAGTTTGGTTCTAAAATATATCTTTAAATTTTTCAGCTTGTCAGTTTGGTTCTAAAATAAATCTTTAAATTTTTCAGCTTGTCAATCTTTAAATTTTTCAGCTTGTCAGTTTGGTTCTAAAATAAATCTTTAAATTTTTCAGCTTGTCAGTTTGGTTCTAAAATATATCTTTAAATTTTTCAGCTTGTCAGTTTGGTTCTAAAATAAATCTTTAAATTTTTCAGCTTGTCAGTTTGGTTCTAAAATAAATCTTTAAATTTTTCCCGTCTTAATTATTTCACCTGAAATACCGACCAGAGCGCTGTCTGTAGAGCAGACTCCTGAAATATTAATAAGGAATAAGAAACAATGGAAAGATCTGAAAAGATATCCAACATGGAACCCCAAGATCACCATATGGGTGTGTTGTGTCCTATGAGGACTGCGACCGAAAATTAATCCGGACTTACACAATATTTGAATATTTAATATCAGATAAAAAAGGTCGATTTAGTTCAGTGGAACAGGCCACCAAATTTTGTCCCGTTTTGTAGGGAACAGGCCAACATTTTGTTCAATTTTAGGACCAGACACCAGATTTTGTTATGTTTCAGGGAACAGACCACAAGTTTTTGTTCCATTTTAGGACCAGACCCACAGTCCATTGGGGAGGCACAAAACTCACAAACTTAGAAAAGAGGCCTACAGAAAAGGATAAGGACAGGTTCTTCAGTAGTTCCTGCAGCAGGTTATGTTACAGCTGAAGCCCCTACACAGGGAAGATTACCGTCGAGCAAGAGCCAAACTCATTCGAAAACTTTATCTATGTATTCACGGTGAAAAAATAAAATTAATGTAAAATGTCATTAAACCATATTTAGAAACTAACAATGCATTTTATTAATATTCGACGGAAAAAAAACATTTAAATAAAAAAATCAGCAACCATATATGCAAGTCTCTTTAAGTCATCGCCAGAAAAAGGTCAGCCCACCGTAAAAAAAAACCAAGAAAGAGCTGTTGCCCCCCCCCCCCCCGGGTGTCCGCCAAGTAGTAAGTACCTAAAATGAATATTTTCTAACCTTAAAACTGTTTGATAGCCATCTATTCTTCATGACTGCAAGGACGGAGCTGGGCGGAGATTCTAAATCCTAAAAATGAATTCAAAAATAAAAGATATAAATTTACGAATAAAAAATTAAAGCTCCAAAATTAAAATTAAAATTGATTTATAAAAAATAGCATACCTCGAATGAGTCAATAAGTATATAATCTAAGCAAACATCGTAGAAATTAATGCACCGAACATTCCTGAAAAATATAATATGATTTAAATAAACATAAAAATATAATCTAATCCTCTATCTCCTAACTGGACATATAGTCTCCTAACCTATCTCCTACCTAGATATATACTCACCTACACTATCTCTTTACTGGATATATAGTCTCCTACTCTATCTCATACCTGGATAAATAGTCTCCTACTCTATCTCCTACCTGGATATATATGTCTTCTATATCACCTACCTGGATAAATAGTCTCTTACTCTATCTCCTACCTGGATAAATAGTCTCCTACTCTATCTCCTACCTGGAATCATAGTCTCCTACTTTATCTCCTAACTGGATAAATATTCTCCTACTCTATTTCTTACCTGGATAAATAGTCCCTACTCTATCCCCTACCTGTATATATAGTCTCCTACTCTTATCTCCTACCTAGATATAAACTCATCTACTTTATCTCCTTCCTGGATATATAATCTCCTACTCTATCTCTTTCCTGGATATTATATAGTCTCCTACTCTATCTCCTAACTGGATATATAATCCATAATCCATAAGACATAAGACATATTTAGGCTGGCTCTTCGAAATTGGTCACAAAATAGGTATTGAATCTATTCTCTGCCCCTACTTCTTGTTACCGTTAACTACAACAGTGTAGCCCAGTGTTAAGCGGCTACAAAAGCAGTCCACCAGCTTCATTATGTCTCATAACGCCTGGCTGACATTTTTTTTAATCGGATTAAACATAGAATTTTTTCAAAGACTTAAAGGAAGACTTGAAGGAAATGAATATGTGATTATTAAGGAGTGTTTTAGAATTAGGATATGGATTTATGTCTGAAACTCTATCTCCTATCTGGATATATACTATATAGTCCCTACTTTATCCCCTACCTGGATATAAAGACTCCTACCTGGATGAAAGCTCTTCCTCCATCTGTTTAACAACTGCGTCTCCTGTCAGGTACTCTAAAAATAAAAATGATACTTGAATAAATAATGAAATTAGAAACAAGTATATCGTACATTTTTAAAGGGCTGTGTACGTGGTCTTATTAAAATAGGAAATCAAATGCTAAGAATTAGTTAAGACAACTGATGGATGATCTATATTTTTTACAAACAAAATCATATGATTACTTAATAATTGTTAGCTTGCTATTGTTAAAACACATCAGATTCTTAAAAATATTCCATAATATGTTATAATCTTTTCTTTATTAACAAATGCACTAGTACCTATCATATCATCGAAGGCAATGAGGAAATCTTTCGGGTCCTTATCAGACTTCACCAATAACTTTTGAAACAAAACATTTGACGAATTTCGAAAGATTTGCTTCAATCTAATTTAACTAATTGCCTTAATTCTTTTCTGACTTTTGCAACTTAATTTAGGTCTTCTTTTCTTTAAGTAAGGGGGAGGGGGTCAACATGTATTACTCTAGGGATAATTTGACAGTTTTTAAACATAACTTAGAATTGTCGTAGAACGCTGATTTTTTGCATGTGAACTCGAAATTATGTATTGTAAATGCAAAATTCGGTTTTAAAAAAATCGAGCATAAGTGCGACTGTGCTTTTTGGTGGAAAATGTGACTTTTTCGCATTTTTGCAATCTTGACACCATGAAATGAACTTTAATTTGCTTCAAGATGCTTTCAAACATGTAATGCCAGTTTTTCGCAAAAAAGAGTCAAATCCTCGCGAGCGAATTTTAGAAAATATTTGAGATTTTTAAGTTTTCAATTTAGGCATTAGTCAAAACAAAAGTAGCATGCGATACATCGATCTACAGGAAAATTAAGACGAAGAATTCATTTCTATGGTCAAAACAGACATTGGAGCGTTCTGATCGGCGTGCAAGTAGCTAGATGTTACATTATAGGTCATTTGCCACAAATTTCACATGTATGTAGATAATTAGGTAATAAGTCAAAAATGTAGTTTGAGCACTCTGATCGACGCACTAGTATCCAGCTATTACATTTTGGGTCATCTAACCACATACTTTTCGAGTTGTATGTCAATTTACAGGTAATTGTGCATGATAAATCCATTTCCGATGTCAAATTAAATATTGGAGCATTATGACCAGCGCGCTAGTAGCCAGCTGTTACCTTATGGATTTACTTTGCATGCTGCATTTGCACGTTGTATATTAATTTACAGGTAATTGGGCACCAGGAATTTATTTCTGATGTCAATATAAATATCGGGACATTCTGGCCGTCGCAAATAAAGCCAGCTGTTACGTGGAATTCATTTCTGAGGTCAAAAGAAGACATTGAATCGTTCTGACCGGCGCGGTAATAGCAAATTGTTACATTATGAGTCATCTTGCCACACATTTCTTGTAATGTATGTCGAATTACGGGTAATTGGGCATGAGAAATTCATTTCCGAGTTCAAATTAATGTTGAGATGTCGATTTAAAGAAAATTGGGGAAAAGCAATTCTTTTCCGATGTCTAAATTAACATTGTAACATTCTGACCGGCGCGCTAGTATCCAGCTGTTAAGTAATGGTTCATCTTTGTACATATTTTACATGTTGTGTGTCGATTTATAGAAATTTGGGAAAAACTAATTCATTTCTGAGGTCAAAATAAATATTTGAGCAGTCTGACCGGAGCGCTTTTAGTCAAGTGTTTGGAGTTTACATGTTGTATGTCAATTTAAAGTAATTGAGCACGATTAGTCCATTTCCTTGGTTAACAATGGAAAGCGCCCCTTGATAGTTAATCTAGCAGCCTGCAGCTACCTGTTCTCAAAGTTACTTTTAAGCACGCAAGAATCCATAATATAAATAAAAGATCATTTTACTGAAATGTGCTCGTGTAGTACTAGCTACATTATTTGTTAAACTAAAATCAAGACAATTTCTTCCATTTTGAATGTAATGGTTGATTATTTTCAGATTCTGTTTACCAGAATTTTAAGTATATCAAGCATTTTTGTAGGATGAACCGCATTTAATAATAGGTGTCCACTAGGTCTATCAGACTTCTTCGCTGGTTTTTATAATAAGACAAATTTCTCAAGTGACTAATTTCTAATATACTACATGAACAAACATTGTAAATAGTTCATTAATACCAATGTGTTCCAGAGCAAGGCAACCTTAATGCTTTTCAACTAGTTTTGACAACAGAATTATATCCCTCTGGTCGAAATACTTTTTTCTAAAAGAACATGTCAAACAATTTTCAGTTAACCCGATAACTACCGTCTATTTAGCAGCGTGACGATCAGATTTCCCAAGCAAAATTTATACCCACGAATTAGAATCCCCGGGTCTAGTTATCTAAGATCTACATACTGCATGTAAAACATATGGTAGGATTAGCCACAAGATAACTGCTGGCTGCTAGCGCGCCGATCAGAGTGCTCCAATATTTATTTTGACATCGGAAAGGACAGGCAAAAAATCAGCGTTCTACGACAATTATAAGTTAAATTTAAACACTGTTTAAAGCTTTTTTGTATTCCAGATCCTAAGAACGTTGCCTGAAAAAAAGTATGGATAAGAAAGGATTCTAAAGAATATATAGCTTAAATAAAAAAATATATCAAAATATTAAAATATTGGTTTGATTTGTATATATCATATCATATCATATCATATCATATCATATCATATCATATCATATCATATCATATCATATCATACAGCTAGGGATGCGTCCAACAATGTTTCCTGAACTAGAATAATTCTCCCGTTGTCTGTCCACCACTCTCTTAGTTCGTTATCCTTCATTATTTCTCTAGAAAATTAAATAGTTTATTTTTTTAATCAACAACACTCTTAGTTCGTTATCTTTCATTATTTCTCTAGAAAATTAAATAGTTCATTTTTTTTATAAACAAATCTTTTGGAATTGACTTAAATGAATACCTAAGTTAACACAAAAAAAAACAGAAAAAAGAGACATTATGAAAGAAAAGGGAAAAGGGTTTCAATAAAAATAGGACCAAAAAAAGTTTTATGACGAAAATAAAATTGGATTTCTAGATGCAATCAGCTAATATACTAAAGCTGACCTGAAAGCCAGTCTAAGACAATGCAGTTTAGCTAAATAATCTGTATCAGAAGCACAGCCAAGAAAATCAGTTCGCATTACCCTAGATAAAAATATTCAATTCCTTGTTCATTATTACAATTATATAGTTCTTATGTCTGTTTCGCTACTTTACCCATTTACCAATCATTCACCAAGAATCAATGACACTTTTTTTTGGGTTGAAAAGCATAAGAACTACGTTGCATACTATATAGAATATTTCGTAATATATTCAAGGGAACAAATTGAAAAGATGCTTTAATTTCTTAGCTAAGTTGGGAATTCAAATTCAGGATAAATAAGAATTTAAGAATTTGATCAAAGGTACTCTTTAAATATGGTTGTCATTTTTTCTTAACTAAATAGGGAATACAAATTCAAGATAAATAAGAACTTAAGAATTTGATCAAAGGCACTCTTTAAATATGGTTGTCATTTTGTCTTAGCTAAGTAGGGAATACAAATTCAGGAGAAATAAGAACTTAAGAATTTGATCTAAGGTACTCTTTAAATATGGTTGTCATTTTTTCTTAACTAAGTAGGGAATACAAATTCAAGATAAATAAGAACTTAAGAATTTGATCAAAGGTACTCTTTAAATATGGTTGTCATTTTGTCTTAGCTAAGTAGGGAATACAAATTCAGGATAAATAAGAACTTAAGAATTTGATCAAAGGCACTCTTTAAATATGGTTGTCATTTTTTCTTAACTAAGTAGAGAATACAAGTTCAGGAGAAATAAGAACTTAAGAATTTGATCAAAGGTACTCTTTAAATATGGTTGTCATTTTGTCTTAGCTAAGTAGGGAATACAAATTCAGGATAAGTAAGAACTTAAGAATTTGATCTAAGGCACTCTTTAGATATTGTCATTTTTTCTTAACTAAGTAGGGAATACAAATTCAGGATAAATAAGAACTTAAGAATTTGATCAAAGGTACTCTTCAGATATTGTCATTTTTCTTAACTAAGTAGGGAATACAAATTCAGGAGCAATAAGAACTTAAGAATTTGATCAAAGGCACTCTTTAGATATTGTCGTCATTTTTTTGCGGATAGAGTCCAAAAGAAGAGTAAACGAAGGGAAAGAAGACAAAAAAGAAGATGTTAACCTGTATGGAATTCCACTGGTTTCGTGTACCTCTAAAGCTGCCTTGTACAACACCAATTTATCTAAGTATTTTCTTTCTTATTTGAGAGAATAAAACAAAATTAATTATTTAAATAATCGTTGTTTTTCCGTTTTGTTATGGACCATGAGTTTGATCATAGTTCACTGCCCAGTACCTATTTTAGATTTAACCATGGTGGTGAATGTACAAAAATAAAAGACATACTCATGCCAAGAAAATGTTGCTTATTTTTTTATTGAGATGGTTCTCGGAGAGCCAGTAAGTACTGCCACCAGAAGTTTTAATCAAAATATTTGATATTTTACAGCCCCTTCCCCCCCTTTTAAACTCAAACATTTCTCTCCATACTTAATGAACTGTATCCTGTTTGTTACGTCAAAATTTCAAATTGGTCAACAATAAATTTTTAAATTGTTTTTGCCGTCTACATTTCTGGGAATAACATCATCTATAATACCTAGATCCAAAGGTTCATTATTCTCGTCAAAATCTCTAAGATCTGCGATACTATCCTCAGCGGAGACAAAGCTTACATCATCCAGACTTGATACACTAAATATAATTATCTTAATTCTAGAAACTTCTTATAATACCCTAATACAGACAAAATTCTTACTCCTCTGTATAGAGGGACATCGTTTTTGTTTTTGTAAACGAACGAAAAGAGAACGGACAACCTTTTTCGTGAACGGTGGTGTCGTTCAGAAACTAACGATCGTTTTTGACTGTACTTTAGCAAATTGCAAATTGTCGTATATACCTGAGAGCTGTTGTTCTTCTTGATATACTTGGAGATCTTCGCTGCTCAGCCACTTTCTGCATCTCCTAAAATCAAGAACAAAATAATTTTTTTCCTTCCCCATTTCGAAAATCTGTTTTCCTCCAAAAGTTAAGAAAAAAAGTTAACGCCGAATAAGGGAAAATAAATAAAATTTTGGGTAAAAATATCAAACAGGATGGATTTTTTTTCTCTCCAGACCTTCAAAAATCATTTCTTGAGATTGAAAGTATATATATGAGCAAGGACAACAAGAAGTAGGAACTGAGGATGACAATAAAATAAGAATTATAACAATAACACATAACATTAATTAATTAATTAATTAATTGATAAGACTTAAAATGAGACAAAAAATACATAAATGATTCAAAATCAAATCAAGTTTTCATCTGAAAGTAAACCCATCGTAGAACCCGAAAGCTTCCTTCAGAGCGCTACCCACCACCAAGTGGGCAACTGCCTGGAGTCCTATCCGGGAAAGAGCACAAATTTAAGCACAAATTTATAACGCTCATGCTCCTGTGGCTGTGTGCCATACAGCTACCTAACATGGAAATGAAATGAAATGATTCACTCACCTGTTTCTGTTGAAGGAATGCATCACGTTTATTAAGAACAGAGTTTTGGTGAATGAATAGTGTTTCTGACATATCCTATATTATAGAAGTTAGTTCAGTATTCTTAAATATTTTTTCCTAAATGAATCCTAAACTGTGATCCAATGACACCCCCCGGCCCCCTCTTACAGTCTAAGTCCAGTGATGAATTTTTAGTAAGACAAATATTTTCAGTCAAACTTATTAGGGGCAGTTTAAAAAGTCCTAAGAAAAAACATTTATCGTTTAATTTACAATAAATGATAAGAATTCAAAAAATTGACCCAGATTAGAATAAAGAAAAGATCCGATTTGTTTTATAAGGATTCAGACTGCGGCCAGATTCAGATCCGGATATTCGTAAAGTGGCACGAATTCTATTTACCTGCAGTTGGTAGGCTAAATCTAGTATTTCCTCAACACTTCGTCGAAATTCTGATTCTTCGCTTGTCGTAAGAACAAGACTCGTCGCTTAAATATTAAAAAAATTATATTAATTTAATTTAGTAAGTTTTCAATGCAAAAATCATTACTATTTCAATTATATCTTTTATTATAATAGATTATTTACACTAAAAAAATACATATGAAAAATAGGATGTATGAATAAACTTCACTTTCCAACATGTGAAACAAACACATCTTTAAAATGTACCAAATAAAGTTTTACAACGAAAAGCTGACGAAATCTCAAACCTATAGCATTATACAAATATGCTTACGTTTAAAAAGTTAAGAACTTAACAAAAACCTACCACCGCCGCACTGTAATTTGTAGAATTGTAAAAATAAAAATGAGTTTATAAAAGAGGATTACACCAGTGCTTAGGATCCATTTTATTTTGATGCGAATTCAAGTACGTATCCTTGATCCTCCCTGAGAAAAATGGATCCGGATTCAGGTCATGAACATTTCTTTAGAATCTACTGATTTTTTAACAGAATAAGAATATTCCAATTATTTTCTTCTTTTATTTTTGCTTATTTTTATGGTTAAGGAAAATTTTAATAATCTCTCTTTTATAACAGTTCAGATTTGGCTTTAAAGAGAAAAAGGTATTTTATTTTCATAGTTCCTGGTTGATATTTTGCCCCTTGAATTCGGATCCGTTGATCCGCATATTTTGAATCCGGATCCAGGAAGGCAAAATCGATTCGGATCCTAAACACGGATTTGACAAAGATGAAGTCGCTAACCTGTAGGATTATATGCTGCTAAAGCATCCTCCCAGTATGCTATTACTGTTTCAAGAGCTTCCATACCCATTAAACCGAGCTGCTGAGGAGCTGAATCAAAAATAAAAATAAAAACTGTCCCAGCTAAGTATTTTAATTAGATATGAGCAAAGTTCTAGGCCTCTAACCCACAACTCCTATACTTTAACTCGCTGACAGGAAAATTGGTATTGGATGGAAACCTCATTCATAAAATTAACCCCCCTTATTAATTGATTTTCCAACCTCAAAGTAAATGATTGATGCTTACCTAGTTGTGTTCCGTCCACTAGGGTAGCACTACTCACAATACTCTCCTGAAATAACAATTTTTTTATTTTGAGTCTTTGCTTAGTTGTTAAAATTGTTAGATGACGGCAACATCTTATTTATAAGATGAATCTTAAATTAGGACGAGATCTTGTTTTTATTATTCAGAAGAATCTTAAATTAGGACAACGTCTTGTTTTTTTTTATACAGAAGAATCTTAAATTAGGACGAGATCTTGTTTTTATTATTCAAAGGAATCTTAAATTAGGACAACGTCTTGTTTTTTTTATACAGAAGAATCTTAAATGAGGACGCAATTTTGGTATATTATACAGAGGAATCTTAAATCAGAACGCAATTTTGGTATATTATACAGAGGAATCTTAAATCAGAACGCATTTTCGGTATATTTTACAGAGGAATATTAAATCAGAACGCAATTTTGGTATATTTTACAGAGGAATCTTAAATGAGGACGCAATTTTGGTATATTATACCGAGGAATCTTAAATCAGAAAGCAATTTTAGTATATTATACAGAGGAATCTTAAATCAGGACGCAATTATGGTTTTATCCGAAAAATTTAAGGTGCCATTTTAATTTTAATACGCAGCAGAATCTTGATAATGACATCATCTTAGTTTTAAGATTGCGAAACAACAATTTAAAATTTGACCTGATCTGATACTGAATGTTTCTGCAGCTCAATCCAGTTGTAACTTCTAAATATTTGAATGAAATTCTCATGATATAAATCCTAATGATCCAAGATGTGTTTGCTTTAAGAAAGCATATCTTGCCAAATTTTATTTTCATTGATAAAATAATTCCCAAACATTTATTTTGAAAAAGATAAATTAAATCAATCTTGCGTTCTACCTTTGAACATATTTTATACCCCTACATCAAAAACTACATTATAATGTCATAAATAATGTTTTCGAGATGAATAAAAGTTTTCGTAGAAACCTGTAAGGAGTTGATGAAACCGAACCACAATCGCTAGCAACATTTGCAGATCTAAGATAATTTTTAAATTGATATCTTTCCTACTGAAATATTTTCAACAGCTGATCTGTTGCATAAAAATTAAAAACATTTGATTGATAAATTCTCACGAAAGCAAAACTGTTTTTTTTTCACCTGAATGAATTGTTCCTTGGTCTCCTAGTTCTAGCTCCTGACCCCCTATCTTCCGATCTTCTTCTTCTGGTCATCCAGGAGATAGATACATACACTACAACTCCTAGAGTAAGGGATAATTACATACACTTCCACTCCTAGAATAAGAGATAGATACATACACTACAACTCCTAGAGTAAGGGATAATTACATACACTTCCACTCCTAGAATAAGAGATAGATACATAAACTACAACTCCTAGAGTAAGGGATAATTACATACACTTCCACTCCTAGAATAAGAGATAGATACATACACTACAACTCCTAGAGTAAGGGATAATTACATACACTTCCACTCCTAGAATAAGAGATAGATACAGAAACTACAACTCCTAGAGTAAGGGATAATTACATACACTTCCACTCCTAGAATAAGAGATAGATACATAAACTACAACTCCTAGAGTAAGGGATAATTACATACACTACCACTCCTAGAATAGGAGATAGATTCATAAACTACAACACATAAAATAGGAGTTAGATATATTAACGAAAACTCCTACAATAGGAGATAGATATAAGAGTTACCACTCCTGGAATAGGGGATACAGGGTGTCCCAAAAAAAACATGGGAATTCAGTGACGAATTCGATATCGTCTTTGTTATGAATTAGCATTGTGATACCTAATTTCAAAACTCATAATATTATTATGTCTGCTAGCGTTTATTTTATGAAAAGGGTAAAAGACTGTAAAGATGAGTCTATAATGTCTCCGCAAGATGAACAGTGAAGGCGGACAAGTTTACTCTGTTTGTATACTGCAATTTTCTTGTTTTACTAAGTACAACCGTATGCAGTCAAAACATAAACAAACAAAATGTGAACATAGCAGACGAAACTTTTACAGATTGCAGCTTTCTCAGTAGGTATCACTTTACTAAATCAAATAATTATTTATAAAGACGATATAGAATTCGTCACTGAATTCCCATGTTTTTTGGGACACCCTGTACGTACTTTGTACTTATAAAGTCTTTAATAAGGTTTGCACAGATATATATTACTTACCAATAGCGCCAGTTACTAGAACTGACTTTAAAGATCTTGACATGGAACTCAGTCTGAAATGTCAATTGGTTGAAAAGTCAATCAACCAATCAATGAATTAGTCAATTAAACTACTAGTCAAACAGTCGACAAGAAAGTCAAGTAATCAAACAAACAACCAATCAGTACATCAGTCAATGAATCAATTAATAAGTCAATGAATCAATTAATTACTCAGTAAATCAAAAAATCTTTATTTAATCAATCAATTGGTTAAATAACCAAACAATTAGTCGATTTATTTTAACAATTAATCAGGCAATCAATCAATGAACCAGCCAGTGATCAATAAATCAATCAATTAATCCATTAATCCATCAATCCATCAATCCATCAATCCATCAATTAATCCACCAACTATCAACCAGCCATCAATCAATAAAACCATGGATAAATCAATATTAATCAGCCAACCAATCAACCTGCCAATCTTCAATCAATGAATCAATCAGTCATTTTACTCGATAAACCAATTACTTAATCAATTAGTCAATTAATTCATTAATCAATCAATGACTCAGTTAATCAATTAATTAGGCAATAAATTAATTTAATTGGTTATTCAATCAATCAATCAATCAATCAGTTAATCCATTGTTCGGTCTATAAATCAGTCAGTTTATCAGTTAATTGATCAGTCAATCAATCAGTTCACCAAAAGAAAATTATTTAATTAATCAATCAGTCAATTAATCAGTTCCATCAGTTAAATTAATCAGTTAATCAAAATATCAGTCATTTAATTTATATTTTTAATCAATCAATCATTCAATCAATCATTCAATACAAACCAATCAATCAATCAACCAATCAATCAACCAATCTATCAATTATTCTATCAATCAATCTATCAATCAATCTCTCATTCAAATAGTTTGTAAATCATTCCATTAATGGTTAAAAAAATAGAACACAAAAATAGATACAAAAACCAACAATTCAGAAGTTTAAATTAATTTATTTACTCTTCATCATAATAACAATAATGCAGTGCCCAGGATCCATTTAAATTTGATGCGGATCCGGATCCTGGATTTGCATTGTAAAAAAATGGATCCGGATCCGGGTCTTTTCTTTAAGATTTACTGAATTAAAAAAAATTTCAAATTTTTTGTTAAATTTTTTTTGCTTATTTTTATCCTAAAACTTGATAAGCACTGCAATAATGAGAATCGTCGGTCAAGTATCAATATATTCAGTTTTAACCTAAGGTAAACAATTAAAAAAAATGTTTGCAAAGAAATCGAACTTTTTGGAAAAACAAATATTTTTTTAGACGTAATTCTAGTTTAACTGCTTTGATAACCAAGAATTAACATAACACATAATATCAACCTGTTTGAAGCTAAAGGCGAAAGAGAGGCCGCCATCTGATAAGCTTGACTACCTAGCTTTGTGGAGAACACCTTCTGCAAACTTTCCTGAAATATTGTGGCTTTCAGTTAAGAATTTACATCATTCCCGAGTCCCTTTAAGATACATATCTTACACAATTCAAATAAAAAAGAATTCTTTCAAAGATAGGCTACTTAGAAGACTTCAAAACCACTCGGTTTTATTATTAATATCTCAGATATCCAACATTCCAGAGATGATATTTAAAAAGCTTTAAGTTTAAACCCAAGTAAAATCCGTTCTTTGCATCTACTTATACCCAAATAAAGCTCAAATTAAGACTGAGTGTACCTGAAATGTAAGAATGGGAGTTTTGTACTGAGTGTACCTGGATTGTAAAAAGGGGAATTGTGTACTGAGTGTACCTGGATTGTAAAGAAGGAATTGTGTACTGAGTGTACCTGGAATGTAGAAGGGGAGTTGTGTACTGAGTGTACCTGGATTGTAAAGAGGGGAATTGTGTACTGAGTGTACCTGGATTGTAAAGAGGGGAATTTGTACTGAATGTACCTGGAATGTAAGAAGGGGAGTTGTGTACTAAGTGTACATATAATGTAAGAAGCGGAGTTATGTACTGAGTGTACCTGGAATGTAAGTAGGGAGTTGTATACTATATGTACCTGGAATGTAAGAAGGGGAGTTGTGTACTGAGTGTACCTGGAATGTAAGAAGGGGAGTTGTGTACTAAGTGTACCTGGAATGTAAGAAGGGGAGTACAGTTCTGGTCTAGTTCTTCTCCCATTAAATTCATTATTCCACCCTAACCCCCTCAGCACATACAGGACTACGAACACAAAAACATCTTACTATCTGAAATTAAAAAATTCTAAATGTACAAATTAATTCCTAACATAATTTAACAAATAACAACATACAAATAAGTTTTAAAAAATTCCGGTACAAGGTGTAAACTATACAAAGAGACCATATAAAAATAAATTCTCGACGTCCGTGGTAAAGATAAGGTCAGGGTAATAAATTTAGTAAAATAAATATTTTATCAAAATACAATTTTTCATTGCTTTTAACATAACCGGATTGTCAAGGTTATTTAAAATGATGTTTCTTAAATTCCTGGAGTTGTTTGCCATTCAAAGAATTCCTTTGACGATTCAAATATTTTACTTTTGACGTCAATAAGCGTTTTTTTCTGTCATAATTAAAAAAACTAAACCTACAGCATTGAATATAAAACGAAATGAAAATTAGAAGTAAGAAAATTCCCGAGTCAGTTGTTTCTAGAATGAAATTTATTCTGCATGATTATTTTTCACATATAATAGCTTTAATACTTCAAGAATTTTAACTTTGCATAAAACAAACCATTAAAATTATGTTTACCAATTAACTAACACCAATTTAGCAATAGATAAATACATACTTCGTACAGGTTTACACAACAAATTAAAGAAAGTGAAAGTATGCATTATTCAAAGAATTAAAATACATCATTGTTCTCAGTTCACATAAACCTCTGTAAATGTGTGCACTATACATATAATCATACATCTAAATTTATAACTTATACATTAGTGCATCCAAATCTAAAGAATGCAATTTAAATAACTTTACAAGGAGAGTATCATGTAAAAACTTCAAATGAATAATCTAAATGAGGTCAAGTTACTTGTTCTTTACCTATTCCCGTTTTCGTTGTGGAACAGGATTGTTACTTATATTTACATAGTTGCATTAATTGATAAAACAAACAACAAAATGACATAATACATTCGATAAGAATGTATAAATTGCTCAAGATCTATTCTCTTTATTACAAGATTGATTAGTTTAGTCGTTGACTAGCCAATCGTCAGCACTGGACACGTTTCTGTGATTACTAAATAAAATTTAACACTTAAATAATGTATTTATACACGGGATATCAAGCTAAACAAATAAAAACCAGAATACTATTATAATTGTTGATTCTTCAAAAGAAATGAGAAAAATATTTCTTTAATAGTAAATATTATAGAGGAAATATCTGTCCAAAAAACGTCTCTGTACACATTTTTAGAGATACAGCTATTTCAAATTACCTAGTGGGAGTAAGAGATAATCATTTGCGAAACTAGGGGAGGGAGACGAGGGATGATGGAAATGATTTCTAATTAAAATATATAACCCTAGGAGGAAAATCAGACCTAGGAGACTTCTGACCATAGTTTGAATTACAATAAATTATCTTAAGTGTTAATTTTCCTTAGTCCGAGCATTTTACAATTACAAAACCTTGATTTATCTCTTCTTTCATCTACCCAGGATATCTAGAACAAAGAAATCTAAGATTTTAGATTGAAGAATTTAAAGTAAACTTTAAACGGTATTGATTCAAATCCATCGGATATGAACTTTTTCAAATCTTGTTAAAAAAAATACGCAATTTCTACGTTATTTACAAATACTTAAAACATACATCATTCAGTGTCCGGATATGTTTTACTAAAACCCAAACAGACAGGGTAAGTGGCCAAAGGCTTCAACCCTGGAGCTCAACCATGGAGCTCAACGAAACATATCCTACAGTACAATATACTTTAATTGTACAGGCGCGCAACTAGGGGGGGGATATCTCATGATCAGACAGGGGTTTAAGAAAGGGTATCTCATGATCAGACAGGAGTTTAAGAAAGGATAAACGAAACATATCCTACAGTACAATATACTTTAATTGTACAGGCGCGCAACTAGGGGGGGGGGGCAGGGCCTAACCAGTCTGATTAAGGGGGACAATGCCCCCCCTCAAGAAAGCATCCCCCCTGTAGGGTATGGGGGGGGGAAGAAGTCCTCAACAGGGGTCCATATTGTTCCACATATAGTTAATTTTCTCGAAAATTTGAAGAAAAAATAGGCCCCCACAGTAATTTTTTTAAAACCATCACTCATTTATGCCCCCAACTCTTAAAGCAAACTCAAATTCCCCTACAACATTTTTTGATATAAGCTCAGCTCAGATTCTTTTTATTTTCGCCCCCTTTCTGAAAAAAATGCCCCCAAATTGGATTTTAAAAAATTATACTCACACATTCTTATTCAACCAAAATTTGCCCCCTTTTCTAGAATACCACTAAATATTTATAATTTGCACCTAAATATTTATTTTTATCCCCATATGTGTTATACATACACCCAACTTTAAGGTAATAACTCCAAAATTAGGAAGTTTTGGGCCCAAACCTTTAATTAAAAAAGCCCCTTTATAAATTTTTAAAATGCCCTTAAATACAAAAAATTTGCCCTTAAAATAAATATTTAAGATTTCCCAATTCCCATAAACAAATTTTCCCAAACTGAAAAAATATCCCAAAAACAATAATTTTCCCAAACTGAAAATTGTCCCCTAAAACTAAATTTGCCCCTGAAGTTTAAATTTAAGATTTTTCCCACAAAAACTTCCCCCAAACTGAAAAGAATGCTCCCAAATATAAAAGTTTACCATCAAAATATCCTGAATTGGTAAGGAGCTTTTTTCATGGTTAAGTATAATACACATTTTTCTTGCCCCCCTCCCCCTAGAAATATTTATGGGGGGAGGGCAAAAAAAAAATTTCCTTCCCCCCCCTTTTGCTGAATGTCTAGTTGCGCGCGTGCTGAAGGTTCAAGGAAAATAATAATAATAATAATAATAATAATAGTATAAATAATGGAGATAAGGAAAATGAAAAAATAAAATTCTAAGTAAATATTAAAATCGAATATAGGTTTAGATCAAAAATCCTGATTTTTACCTTGCAAAATCCGGGTCCTTTTTTACTTTCAAGGCAGATATCTATTCCTAAACAAGGAATATTAATTCAACGCCAAAAAGCGGGTTGAAATAATCATCAAAATTAAATAATAAGAAAAAGAGTCAGGTGAGATTATTCAAACCTCTGGGAAAAAATCCAAATTATTCATTATTATTTTATTGACTAAGTGCAATATTCCATTGCCTAGAGATTCTGCTGCATATCCTATACTCTCCGTACAAACGCTGGAGTTGGGCGGAATCTTCCTTGCCCCACACCTCAGGAAGTTTAACAGAATCTCAAATGCTGAAAATATAAGATTTATAGATAATAAAAAATAAATACAGGGATATGTATTATAAAAATCATACTCTTAAAAATTCTAGTAATTTAAACCGCCGAAAAAATATTGGTTAGCCTAAACTGTTTTCAAGCTGAGCTCTGCTATATTAAGATAGTAAAAATTATACAATATATACAATCTTATGGTGTGTTGGGGGGGTTGGGTGGGAGGGGGAAGTTGTTAAACCTACCTTTAGGACAAACATCAACAAATACTTCATGGGCAGAAGCAGCCGCTAACTATTATATTCAATTTTTAATATTTAAAAAAACGAACTAGTCAAAAAATAAATAAAAAATACTTTAAGGTGCTAATGACTAAAACTGTCATATAAAAAAATGGCTTACAATCCAAATAGTTCATAAAGCATACGTGGAAGGTTTTATGACTGAACTTATCAATATCATTATTTGTTGTATACAAAAGCTTGCAGCTATAGAACAATCTCTGACTCTTATTTCTCAACCAAACAAATATTTTAATACGACAAAAATGTGAAAATTATTGAATCCAAAATTGACACTCAATTTAGCATTTATTACTGTTTCAAAGGGAATGTAGACGTAATTTTAAGCGACCTTTCATTTGAAGAGTGGCAAATCCGATACATACTGGTTCATACTGGTTCATACTGGTATACTTCAACCTTATTTCTCAGCAGTAATGAGAAGGTTGTCGTCGTATCAATATCAAGAATAGTACATAATTATCACAACTCCTCTTAATGAATAATGAGAAGTAGGGATATCTCATGATCAGACAGGGGTTTAAGAAAGGGTATCTCATGATCAGACAGGAGTTTAAGAAAGGGTATCTCATGATCAGACAGGGGTTTAAGAAAGGGTATCTCATGATCAGGCAGGGGTTTTAGAAAGGGTATCTCATGATCAGACAGGGGTTGTAGAAAGGTTATCTCATGATCAGCAAGGGGTTGTAGAAAGGATATCTCATGATCAGACAGGGGTTATAGAAAGGATATCTCATGATCAGACAGGAGTTTAAGAAAGGGTATCTCATGATAAGACAGGGGTTTAAGAAAGGGTATCTCATGATCAGACAGGGGTTTTAGAAAGGGTATCTCATGATCAGGCAGAGGTTTTAGAAAGGGTATCTCATGATCAGACAAGGGTTGTAGAAAGGTTATTTCATGATCAGACAGGGGTTTAAGAAAGGGTATCTCATGATCAGACAGGGGTTTAAGAAAGGATATCTCATGATCAGACAGGGGTTGTAGAAAGGATATCTCATGATCAGACAGGAGTTTAAGAAAGGGTATCTCATGATCAGACAGGGGTTTAAGAAAGGATATCTCATGATCAGACAGGGGTTTAAGAAAGGTTATCTCATGATCAGACAGGAGTTTAAGAAAGTTTATCGCTGTAAATCGGACACGTCACTCTAAAATGGAGTCATTAGAAAATAAGTCCCTTTAACCCCCCAACAATGAATAATGAATATATGTCTGCCTGTGCTAGTACAGACCCTGGTTGTTTAGTCAATGTTCCTCTAGAACTCTCAAACATTGTTCCTCCAGCATTGATTCTAGGTTCACAGGTTCAAATCAAGGATTTAGTTCACATTTCTGATATACTCAGGGGTATATTTTCTTTTCAACCCCCACCCCTTCTTCTTAAAATCAGATGTTGGATTGGGAAAAAATGATTTTTCGGAGAAAATAAATTTGTGTGTAAAAAGTAATAAAAACTTGACTTTTGATGTCCCATTTTTCCTTGAAATGGGGAAAATAAATGAAAGTTTG